TCCTCAAATAAAATCTGAAACTCCCCCTCAAATTTTGAAACTCCCTTAGTTTTTATGTTTAATAAAATATTTACATTTAGACCCCTATATAAATATTAATGTAAGTATGTGAGATGTATTGTGCAATTGGTTTTTGTTATTTAAAGTGGATGAATGTTAAATTGACATTAAGTTGTATTATTTAAAGTTTAATTAGAATTATTATTATGGTATGATTTTGGTTAGGTTAATGATTATACATGCTTTGAATTGAATTTTTGAATTATATTATTAAAAATTAGTTAAATTAGTTGAAATAATAGTTAAAATAGAGAGCATGGTTGGAGTGAATTTGAAAAAATGACTAGTTAAAGTAGAAAATACAATATTTAAATATATTTTGAGTAACTATTTTATTGAGCATGTTTGGAATTGCTCTAACGACCTAGGGAGCTAGGGATTAGGAGTTTAGCTTGTTTATCCGATTTTAGTTATCTCGAACTAGAACCCAGATTATGACTATTGGGGGCATGTCTCCTAACTACTTTTAGACCAAGTTTAACCTTGGATAATTTTTAGTAGCATCGGTTATATTTATCAATAATTTTGTTGGTTGAATCAATCATTACTATGTATTTTATTCAATGTTAAGATTAGATATTTAATTTATGGTGATCTTAATTCTCTAGTTATTTTCGTGTTCCATCTCAACCATGTATGAAGTACACTTTTGACTGCAATATATTATGTTAAAAAAATAATAAAAGACTTGAAAGCATTCTAATATATTTTTAATTGACTCATTATTTATAAATTTAAATTTTTAGGTAAGTATATATATAATAAAGTACAATATAATTCAAATCTCAAAAAATAAATAAAATGACTTTTATTTTTCGCGGTTAAGATCTCTTTAAATTTTATTTTAAAGTTAATTTAATGGCTAATATTAACACTTCAAATTTAATAGGGAATAAGCCTCTAATGGTGTGTTTGGATAACTTTTTAAAAGTATTTTATAACTTCGCATAAGTACTTTAAAAAAAAAATAGTATTTAAAACCGTCTCAACACCACCGCCAACCCACCGCCATCGTCACCACCCCCACTACCACCATCCCACCACCACTGCTGTCGCCATCCCACCACCACTACCACAGTTACTGCCACCTCACCACCACCATAACCTTTACCATCGCCCCACCACCACCGTCGCCAACACCCCACCACTATCATCGTCGTCGCCGTCACCACACCACTATTACCACCACTGTCGCCATCATCATCGCCCACCACTACCACTACCCACTGTCATCCACACTTACCACCATCACCACCACTGTCATTCGCCACCACTCATCACACTATTACCCGGAAGAATCCGTCGTCGTCCACCACCACTATTATCAATCACTATCCTCGTTGTCACCCATGACTACCACTACCAACATTGTCATTCAAAACCAACCATCACCATCATCGTTGCTATCCAAGGCTGCCACCATCACCACAATGGTCATCACCCACCACTACCGCCTACCTCCATTATCACTGCTTATCCCCTGTTATAATTGGAGTTAAAATTTTTTTTTTCTCTCCTCTATATTTATGATTTGATTTTTGATATGAATACAAATATATTTATTGTTAACTATTTTTTTTATTACTCTATACCTTCAGACACAAGTAATAACTAATATATATATATATATATATTGGACATTGAATTACTAAACATTCTATCCACAAGGTCATTCAGGTAAGGTATGAGAGGTGAAACTACAACGAGTTCACTAAGGTCATAGTGAGACAAAGAGATATTTGGTAGGAAATAAGTTTTTAGAGCGCCTAGGATGCAGGCAGCATGACAATATCTAGTTGTATTGATGTCGTTTGTTAGTGTCCTTCAAAGGTTCTTATAGCAAAAGAGTAATGCTATTTGGACCTAAAATTCTGACATAATAATGTGGCTTAATAGGAATCATTGGATCAACACCAAGTTCTAATGTTTGATGGGACCCCAATCCAAAGATCATAGTAAATTAGGTTAGATTTTTAGATCCCAATAGCATTTCTCATAGCAAAAACTTAAAAANCCAAGTTCTAATGTTTGATGGGACCCCAATCCAAAGATCATAGTAAATTAGGTTAGATTTTTAGATCCCAATAGCATTTCTCATAGCAAAAACTTAAAAAGTAGTCTCTTATAGTGGGTGTTTAAGACACTTACAAAAATAATATTTGTTATATTTATCAACAATTTTGTTGGCCGAATCAATTATTACTATTTGATGAATAAGCGTATTTTGTTCAATATTGAGATTAGACATCTAATCTTTGATCTTAACCTTAAGTTTGGTATGAAAGAAAGTTAGGTGAATGGAAAAATGAAGATGAAAAATAGGGTGGAAGTTCCATTGTTTGGTTTCAAGAGAAAAGGGGATGGAATAGAAAAAGGGTGGAAAGCTTATCCATACCGCTAACCATTTTTGGGGGGAGGGGGGGGTGGGGGGTAGAGGAAGTGGAGTGAAATGTGCAGAATTATCACCATTCCCTATTGAGACTTCCACATCCTTCCAAATGCTTGCATAGTCTATGTTCTATTTTCTTGAAAATGGCCAAGTGTAATACATAAAGGCTATTCATCTTCGGCTCAAGGTTTAACCCAATTTGAAAATAGCCATCTGTGATGGAATTTGGTTATGGGATATAATAAATGTTCACATAAATATAAGAACATATATACAAAAATAGTCTAAAGGGACATTATAGTAAAATTAGTAGATAATAGATTTTTTTGTTTCTTTTACTGTTACCAAACAAAATAATAAAAAATTTAATCATTCGTTTTTTCATCCATCATACCAAACAAATAGGATGGAAAATAAGTTTTCTTTCCCTATGGATGGAAAGTCCATTTCTTTCATTTTTCTTTCATCTTTCCTACAAAACGGATAATATTGATAACTATTATCCAGTTCTTAGTTCTTGCATTTCCAAACATATGATTGAAATGTGTAATATTCCAGTACTCTATTTAGTCATATATTTTGTTCATCTATACTGTCTATTATCCAATATAATCCCTCTTTTATTAATACGGCATCTAAACAAGCCCATAAACAACTTTTCTCTCCACGAGTGGGTAACGGGCCGCGCAGGACCTACATTACCGACTGGGTAGGTTAGTCGGGTCATTGACAATTCCTTCCCTAGCTTTTCAGGGCATTTTTCTCACCCCCCTCATCCTAGACCAGACCCTGTTCATCATGCGACTATTTTGGCTCTTATTGCCATAAGCTCTCTTCATATGGTGCTTCTATTGACCTATGATACAATCAAATGTCATCTGCATGCTTAAAGGCATCGTCCTCTTCCGGTTCCTAACTGTTATACCTTTCTTTTGCAATGATTTTATTCTGAGATTCCGCCTTCGAAAAGTCTTTAAAAATGCATCTGTATTAGCCTATGTGTTCCAAAAAAAGGTGCTACGCCCGGCCCCCTTTTTAGTAGATGAGATTTAAGATGAAAGAGCTTTCTTTCACTAACATTCATAACTCAACTAAACAAAATCTGAATGTAAACCATGGGTCCAGGTGCATAACCCATAGCCCTAACTAGGTGAAATCTCATAAGATTTGTGCGTGTATGTGCACACACACCCCCTCGCGATTTTTTTTTTTTTGGGGGGGGGGGGGATATTGAATGGCGAACAATGTGAATCGTGGAACAGGAAGAGATATTTACTAATAGGCATGGCATGTATATCAGTGTTAGTAGAGGCAATGTTACACAAAGAAGAAAAAGTTTAAGGAAAGAAATCATACACTGGTAAACAGGGAAAAATGTTGCAAGATGATGCCTTTCTGCTTTTCAAAGCAGGTAAGCTCTAAATATTTATACTCTTCAACCGATTTATTTGTATAACGAAATATTTATACAATTGAATTTCCTTTGTGGTCTCTATAGCTCTTTAATAATTCAATGAAAAAATGATACCAAGCTATAAGAAAAAAAGGAGACTGCAGACCAGAAAAAGGGGGGGGTT